ATATATATATATATATATTATATGAATACGTTCAATATCACATAAGCTCATATAAATAAATCAACAAATAAATTTATATACAGAGACGTATAGATATATTTATGCTTATGTGTGTGTGTGTATATGTGTGTATGATTTTTTACGCCTATAATAATGTAAATTTAGAAAATTTACATATAAAATTGAATTGGATCAATAATTTTGAAAATGCGTATAAAAATACCATGAAAACTATAGCGTTAGTGAGAAGTTAAACTTTAAATTGTATGCGTGTGTGGTTTTCGCACTTTTGAGCGAAGAAGGGGGAGGAGTGTGAGTTGGCTTAATTTATGGCCGCAAAATATGCAAAGATTATTTTAGTAGCTAGTATTTGGAGTTGCTGTATGAAGTGTTAATCATAAGCACTCATAGTTGAATGGTTTAATAATCTACTTGTAAACAATAATGAGTTGGATGATGGTTGATAAGTGTTAGATAGATTGTCTCTAGAACAACTTTGATCAATGATGTGAAGTAAAATCGATTTTAAAATAAATTTAGAAAAAACAAACAAAAAAAAAATTTTATGAAATGTCAAATAAAAAAAAAATGCAAATGTCAATTTTTTTTTTTGACTAAAGTGAAGCGCTTTATGACGAAAAGAAACTATTTAAAAGTTAAAAGGGTTCGAATAGAAATGAAAATACAACGCCAAAAATTTTAGTTAATTTATTCGCAATATTCAAAATAGCGTTGTATAGTCAGCCAAATTTCAATAAATTAACTAAAAATTTTATCTTTTCATTTCTATTGGAATCCCTCTAACATTTAAATAGTTTCATTTCGTCATAAGAAGCGTCACTTTCATCAAAAAAAAATTGACATTAAAATTTTTTTTTATTTGACATTTGACAAATTTTTTTTTTTTTTTGGTATTCCTAAACTTATTTTAAAATTAAATGCAAAATTTTTATCATATAATTGGCATAAATACCTGGATCTAAATTCATCATCTTCATGCAGTGTTTTTTCCTCAGGTGGTTTTCAATTCAACTGTTTAAAATTAATAATGCTATAATGCACACACCAATTTAAGTCCAATCGACCTTTGGACTCGTCCCCTTGAAGTGGCTAGGTTTCTTCGACTGGATCCTGGTTAGTTTCAAATTACTCCCACCCCTCCCCTTTCCCTCATCCCCACACTCCCACCTTTTCCATTCCTTATCCCATGTATTCGTCTTGTAATCCTTTCATGTTATCTGCTTTCAGGTCCCGGCGGGTTACAACAACAACAACAATAATAATGCAATAATATTATAAATATATATTTTATAAAAAAAATACCTTTCTCTAAGCGAATTTTACCATATTGTTCTCTTCGGGTACTCTTCAATATTTAAATCTATTCAAATGTAATATTATAAATATATATTTTATAAAAATAGGAAAATAATTCATACTTACAAAAGTTTTATAATAGATTTTTTATTTTCATCTATAATTTTTAAAATTATAGAGGGAGCGAGATTTATATATTACACCATATTTGTCTTTGATATTAATTCTTCAAGTTCATTTTATTATTTGAAGTGGACTTATTAATTAACTGTATTCTGTAAATAATCCGAACAATATATTAGCCAAAACATTTTTAATTTATTTTCAATTTTGAATTTTGAATTTAGTATGTTTTTTGTGAGGGGAAAACGTAGAAATATATTTTAACTGAACTGAACAAATTTTTATTTAGGGATATCAATTTTTTTTGAAAATCTAGGCCAACTTTAATTGAATTAAAATTTTTATTACATACCATATCCTATAATAAGTACTTCTTAGAGCAATATTTTAATACATTTTAAATTTAGAGAGTTACTAAATCCATTTACGCGTAATTATGAGTTATATAATTGATCCTTATAATAAATTTTGCCAAGTTTTTATTTATAATCACATGCAGTACGCTTTAAACTCTTGATATTTTTTATAATAAATGTCAAAATATGAAAAAAAAAAATGTCAAAAAATTTTTACATGTGCAAATTTATATAAAATAAAAGCTTTAATAACTTTTAAATGAAGTATTGAAATCAATACAATAATCAAAATGGAATAAAATTAGGTTTTGTATATATTGAGAATTCACAAAATTAATTTAATATCATTATTTACAACGATTTATTATAATCATGTTTGTACAATTTTTATTCAGTCAATCAACTTTCTGAAAAGCAACGTAAAGGTTCTTGAATGAAAAGAAAGAAGATTATTAAAACCATATTTAGAGATTATCAAGTTGTTTATAACCAAAGGTATACCACTACTCATCAATTGGTACATTAATTATTTTGTCAAATAAATAATTCGAAAGCTAAAACTTAAGATTGCGTTAATATAAATGTTTTTCACAGAATATACTTTCTTACTTACATAAATGGTCATAACTACTGGTTTCCGGGTCTCAGCTTGACACAAAATGTCTCTCCAGGCGCTTCCGCTACGTGCACCCCTTTTCCAGTCTCGTATATCAAGTGCAGTTAGTACTTCCTCAACTTGATCACTACATCGGATACACGGTCTTCTTTTGCTCCTCCTTCCTCAAACTGCTACTCAAATACATTTTTCACTGGACCATCGTCAACTGTTCTCACGACATGACCAAACTAGCATAACCACTGATGTTGATTTGCTAAATAATATCAAAATCGAGATAAAACTCGCAAAGCTCTTGGTGCATAAGGATGTGATAATCGTCGGTAACTTGTAGAGGACCAAAGATCTTAGGAAGAACTTTTCTCTTCAAAACTCCCAGTGCTTTGATTATAAATATAATCTTTCATTATAAAATGTAATCTTTTTTAAAGTCACTTCCACTTGAAAACCGAGATATTGAGGTAAATAACTGTCAGTGAGGTAAATACTTTCATAGGTTTTATTTGTTTTGCTTCAAAAATCTTATAATTACAATACAACAATACATTAATATATATAAGAAATGAATGTACTTTTACTTCGTCCTATAATGAGAAGATTTACTCATTTGATGTTCCTTAAGAAAAGATATACCATTTTGCAAAGAAAAGGTTCGATTTATGGAGACTTCGAGTTAAAGATTTTTTTATAATTGTATGTAAGTTGCTCTCTGAACCCTGTTCCACTCTACTTAGTTCGAGTTATAGAAAGTTCAAGTTATAGTAAATTCGAGTTACAGAACTTCTGTAACAGTAGTTCGAGTTATGGAAGTATAAACTGTATTTAAATCTCTCACAAAAATATACTGATCTCTAACACTATTTAGATTTGGTGTGCAAGGCTGCCACTTTGAGCTAACCTAATCTAACACTATTTAACCTCAATGGGAGCTCTATTCCTCTTTTATTTGTTTCTGATCGCTAATGTTATTGCACGTTAACCAATATTTTTAAATTTTTTATAATTCTTATTTAAAGAATATAATTTTCTTAATGCATAATATATAATAATTGCGACACTGACCTTTCCGTTATATATAAGTAGCACATAAATCAATATTTTCAGTTTAAAAATTACTTTCTCTTTAATTTAAAGAAAAGATATAATATGTTTAAAGTGTACCCAAAATTTTTGTAAAAAAAAAAAGTATCCTTTTTAACACTATTTTGCGATTTTTTTCACTTTCGTTCGCACAAGAAAGTAAATTAACCGACAAAACATCACACATCCGTGTCCCTTTTTTATGAGACACAAGTAAACTCAGTGAATAGTAACACAATTGTTTGTGTTACAAATTCATTGTAACTAGTCCAAAAGAATTTGAAAATCATTTGAATAGACATTCACTCACTCCCCATAAATTCATTCTATCTTCGGCTATGATTAGGAATTTAACTTTCAGACAAAATCAAGCGAAAATCCAAGAGTGAGTCCAGCGCTGTGTGCTTTATAAAATATGCAGATTCATAAAATTGTACAGATTCTAGTTGGTTGTATACGTATTCATTCCTGCAGTGTTATTACCCGTGCACATATGTACGCAATGCTTAACCCCTTTACATGTGTAATCTTCGCATAGCTGCAGGACATAAGCGGGGTCTAAGTATCTACAAAAAATATAATTTGCATGGGGTACGCGTTAACGCTTACAACAGTTTTATTTGCCTGATTGGAAGGGTTTGAATTGTGTACTGATAAAATTAGTTTTTTTTTTATTCATTTTCATTTTCTAAGCATAAATGATAA